CTATCATTGTCCAATGTTAAAATTAAATCCAGTGTTTTTTTTATCGTTTATAAACTACACAACGGTGTCAGAATGAAACAACTTTTTCCTGGTAGACCCTGACAAGTTTATACAAATCACTGAATAGGCTATTGTCTTCGAGTTTATTTATCCGTTTGCCTGATACATAAGCCAAATAGTAACAGCATTTTATTTCTTGAATGATATTTATGACAATATAATACGGTGAGTTGTCAAACGTTATTAAATCCTATTGGCCCCACTATACCTGGCTATTTTATAAGAGGTTTCAATTTTCAATCACTATCGAAATCGAAATATTGCGGTAGCGTTCCATCCTATATTCTAACTGAAATATGTAACGAACACGAATATCCGTCTAGCTAAAAGCGAATGAAAAAGCACATGACAATGGCAATATTGATAAGCAGGGAATCTCTTTCTTCAGATTACTTTTCTCATGTTCAACAAATTTTATATGTTAGGTGTTTTTCCTCATTGTCTTACGAAAAACGCAATGTTAGTTTAATTCTTCAAAGAAATAAGTTTCTTTGTATGCACCGTCACTCTCCACCCTCTATCCCAACTTTTAACTAAAAAGTATATTTCTTTTAGTCAGAAATGTTCAAGTCTGACGTTAAACCCATCCACCCGGGTTTTGACACCCATTTACATTTAATTCATGGTTACGATATTTCATTTGGCATTGAGCAGAAGAAACGATAATCCATCGGAGCGGAAGTGAATGCAGAGAAACCTCCCACTAACAGAGCAGTTTTAACAATTTTCGCTATATGCGGCTTGGCATCATCGTGTGGATTGATGACTGCCTTGTCTATCAGATCATCTGTTAAATAGTTTAATCCACTCGATACAATTGACACACATGCAGCTCTTCATTGACCATATTGTTGTTTCAAGTAAATCCCCGTATATTACACCAATCCAATACCAACAAACGCAGATTATTATTTTCTAGATATTGAGACCTGGATCGACTTTGGGTTTAGGCGTTATCTCTTTAAATCTAACTTTTCTTCTCCACTTTATGTTGACGTAAAGACACCGTCTCTGATCACCGGTAATAATTTTTATGGAAGCCTATCATCATAGCTGCGCGTAACTCGCTGGAGGAAGAGACGTTTAGAAGCAGTAAGAAACGATCTTTGTGACAATCACTCCGTTCATGGAACACTTGAGCTTTCAATTTTCAAGTAAATCCCATAGGTGTAGGGTACTTGGCTATGAACACGATTGCAATTAACTTTCCCGTCAAGTTTACGAAGTATTTCCGGCTGCCCTTCTTCGAAAATGCGGAATAAAGTAGGTCTCCAAAATAACTTTTTTTTTTCATCTCTGAATCTGACAAAATTTGTTTACCGCCTGCTGCTAAAATTGCAACAGATTTGCTGATAAGGGCATTTTCGAATATCAGACAATATAGCAACAGACAAGAGGGAACGAAATATTGAAGATAATCAAGAGTTATTCAATACGATATCACTCGACAGCATCAAGACGAAGATTAAAATGAGATATTAATGTCTTTTACATTTCATGTGACAATTACTAATAGTTTTAAAAACGCTTATTATTATACAAATACAAAAATAACCGTTTCGCTCCAACCGTTTCAAATCATTGACCCGAATTCAGTCGCTTAGATTTCATGAAAAATTTCTAGAATATTTCAATAGCTTCTACATATTTTTATACTAGTTCGGATAGGTTCTTAACATCTAATAAAGTTTAAGCTGACTACAAGACGCTCTTCCGTTTCGGCAACGGCTGTTAACGAATTCGATACGTCTTTGACTACCTGTAACAGCGCACAAAATAAAACGTCCAATGAGTTACAGCATGCCGTACATAACAACACAATTCAGTATAAAAATTTTACCTCATATTTGTTAATCCGATTAATTCATTGCAAAAATATATTAGTGGTGATAATGAAAGCATACTTTGTAATACTTCAATCTAATCTACCTGTATCGATGATTCCAGTCGATCTTGGTTACTTGACGCACATTATGCTTTAACGGTAGGTCTCTACTGTCACTACTCTACGATAATTTGTGTTGCAAGACACAAAAGAACTGCTTGAAGGACTTGCTTGACTGTCATATCCCGCATGTTTCATCTAAAAAGCAAAAACAAGAACATACTTAGAATCTACGATAATAAATCAAATAAAATTAAGCCGGAAACTTTTTTGGGATTAATTCAGATTAAAAAAAAACTCTTCAGCGTTTTCAGGCCTGTTGAGCTTGTATATTCAAATTCATCAGTTTGTGGCACTCTCACATGAACCATATGATCGAAACCTTAAAACTTTTTTAAATCTGCCTTGAAAAGTTTACGGAGTAAAGTTCTGGAACGTACGAAACCTGCAGCATTAACATTTTAGATGCATAGATACCACTGACTGTGTCTTTCAGTCGACAGCGTGGTGCGAAAAGGAACGTCGACTAGATCGAAACCACTGGGTTGGCCGCAAGAAAGGGCGAGGGAACTGAGAAGCGTTCGGCGCCAAAACGAATAGGATTTTAAATTCATTCAGACTATATATTAATTAGGTTTCTGGTAACCCGAAAATAAACAATAGTTCAAGCATTAGGTACTCAGAGGAAGTGACAGGTTACATAAAATGAAAACTTAAAATTACAACAAATTGACGTGAGATATGTTCGATGTAAGTGTCGCTTCCTTATGAACGATTGTTGATTAATGTATTTTCTCGGCTATGTACATAGCGCGTATATATATATATATATGTATATACACTGTGTACATCCATATATCATCAAGAGTAATAACGAATCTGAAAAACTAATTAAAATTAAAACCATCAAAGGCTAAAATTGCATTGTTATTAACCGCTGCAATCCAGTACACTACGCCAGTGTTAGTGAAATAACATTACTACTCTAGCTACTCCATATTAACAACTGTTGGTGTTATGTACGCTTTTCAACTAGTCACTTAGAGTTTTAACTTTAAAAACCTGTGTCCCAAAGTTCAATAGTTTTCCGTGTTGACGCTTTTCACTCTTGCTTTTTCGACAGCGTTCGATATCTATTACCTTCTTGCACACCCTCTTATCTGTTGTTCTCCTTTGACTCCTTCTTTCCTAGCTCCATCCCGCTTAACAACTATCGTTTTCGTATTCTCAGGTTTTGGTTCTCCTCCATCGGCGTCCATCCCAGTTGTTAGTAGCAGCAGACTTTCAGCGGTTGGGTTTAGTTTATTGTTATAATGCCTGCGTTATCCAGTGGGGTCCGCAGGGAAGCGATCAAAAGCTATCCTCAACCCGTCTTTCTCGGTCGGCGCTACCGTCGCCGAGTTCGCACTCGACGACTTTCCAGCAGGAACTTACAGAGAAAGAGATATTAGGAAGTGTGAGCTTAGTGAATCTGAGCTGCATGCTCACCATAGCCACCAAACGGTGAATACATGCTCTCTAGAGATCACTTTTTGTCAATCGGAGACAACGGCGACGTATAAACTTGCTTCCATACGACCACCGTAAGTAAGTCGTTACCGCGTTGCCTTACTCTAAGTGGATCTCCAGCACTGAACAAAGAAGTTTTACATCTTCTGTTGTATATTTTATTGTAAATGATGCGTCTTCCGAAAATTGAATTCCGCTATTTAGTATAACAATTAGTTGATTCGGACAGCTGTGAGTATTTTTTGTATGACTTTACTATTTTTCACTATATTTATTATGACTTGCTATATTTGACGCTGGCAGGATCGTCAGGTCGCGCAGAAAACATATTGAAGAAATAAAGAAAAGGTTATGTTATTAAAGATCCTACTACGACTTGTTATCTGAGCTAGACGCATTCACGAGCTTCAATTGATAGTTGTAATTTCGCTAGCACTCTCCTTATCCTCAAATGTGTTTGTATAATTATTTTCTATTATCTCAATATATTTTAATAACCATGAGAGCCGGAAAATACATAAAGATAATTATTCGTTGAATTTATTTTGCAGAACCGAAATATTTATATATCCGTGGGTTTTTTTGCCATTCCATCGACGTGTTGATTTAGCTAAGACCATCGAACAAAGCTAATCGCAAAGCGCAAACGCAGATGAAGTATCTACTTGGGAGTGATGTAAACGACATATCAGAAAAGAGGCTATTATCAAGATAAAAAAGGCCTCGCGTCAAATCTATTAATCAGCCCATTGAAGACGTAAACGAACCTACAGTGCCGTCACGCTCTTTGTTGCTCTGACATTGGTTATCGTTTTCTTCCGATGTTAACGAAAACTAAGCAATAGACTCCTATGGAAACGAAAAGATATGGCTATGTGATACACGTGGATAAATAGTGGCAAGTAACATAACTAACAGAAACTAACAGCATCAGCTTTAGTAAAATGCATATAGAGAGTACTGTAAAATTACCTAGAGAAAATTGTAATCAAGCTAAGTGCCTAGCGATTATAGCGTTATATATATATAACGAAAAAACTATATATATATATGTAGCTTTTTTGTTTTTAAGTTTTTCCCTTTAATCGTGCCAATCATAGCTATTAGGATGACTACATATACAAACACTTTTCCCTCCACTATAGGCTTATACACAATCATTGGTTGATCAAGTAAAACCATCTAAAATTTTACACCTTATCGAATTTAGTCGTAAATAGCTCCGCACTCAAGTGGTACATCTGCATGCAGTTTTTTCTCACCTGTTCGATGTCAAGGACGTTGTCGTGACCATACATGGGGCCACATCGTTGAAAATTACTTAATAATAACGTAATTCTCAATTATTTTTGTGGCTATACATAAATTCGCGGTAAAATTACAGAAGAACCTTACGGAAAAGCAACAGATTTTAACGGCATACAACAAAGGAAATTGCAGAGAATAATTCTGAATGGGTCGAAGTAGAGAAATGTGCAGTTAATTATGTAGCCCAGAAGGTAAAGGGTTAGGTGCCTCGGTCATCAAAACTAATAGGAAATGAAACTCGAAAATGGTGACAACATGAGATAGAACTACTCCGTGCCACAGAAAACTGAATCGTAATGACTCTTTAACTTCGTCAAAAAGGCGGCGAAACGCGACGCTGTGTCTCTAAGACGCCTCCGACGTCGTATCGAAATTAGTGGTTTTAGCTTTTGTAAGCTAGCTAAAACAACCCGCTAAGTACTCAGAAACCTGCGGGCTTCAAATGGGTAGACAATTCCAAAGTTGGACAGTTGAAGACTGGAAGAGGTCTGTTGTTCAGATGAATAGCATTTTGGGATTTCAGGTAATGACGCCCAACGAGTCAGGTGTTCCGATGAAAGATCTCATAAGTTCTGTACAATTCAGCTGATTGACCGTTCGAAGAAAATAATGGTGTCGGCCATGATTTCCATCTGCGGTGCAAGGGCTCTAATATATTACGGAATTATGAAGCAATGACAGTACCGTGAGGTAATTTGGAAAAACATGTCACTTTAGGTCCGAAAGTGGTTGCCAAATGGGAACTAGGTACTCGTACATGACAAGTCATTATGTCTAAAAAAGTATTTGTTTGAGGCATACACTGCTAATGCTGTTGGGGTTTCCCCCACGGCTCGAAACTTGAATCTGATCAAAAACGCGGGGCAACAAGCCAGTTGGGGCCGAATAGAAGACTATGGACATCTTAGAACTGAAAACAACATACTAATGTAAGTGTGGGTTGAAGACTCAGACGTGAGGAGGTGCGAAGACACATGCGAAGCATGCCAAACTACCTTCCCTTCCACAGCAGTTTAAAAAGCTTCACTAATAACCGAATCGTCATATATTTTCTCATTAGAAAGCAGAGTGAGGCAGCCTTCACTAGCAATTGAAGCAATTGAATACAAAAGAAATTGCGCACCGATATTTAGTTTGTCTGCGAAGCTATTTTTGCTCAAATTCTGCAACGTATGAAATTTCTAAGTAGTTTTATTTGATTTGCTAATGACTATATTTAGAACAACAAATGCGAGAAACTATATTTTGTAGTAAACACACAAAATATAACTGTTCTTATTTTTAAGCAAGTAACTATATATATA